GTAGTTTGGAAAAGGAGCTATTATAACTGACCACAGAAATAAAAAGCATCATTTAATTTTTGTGAATTGTATATTTAAAATTTTGATAAGCCGAAAGAAATGAGCAAATTCCTGGACATGCATGCCCTACAAAAATTGAAGCATGACACAGAAAATCAACAGACCAACTAATCAGTAATTTTAAAGTGTCTAGGACCAGATAGTTTCACTGATGAATACTACCAAACATTTAATGAACTAATACCAATTCTTCCCAAACTACTCCAAAACACCAAAAAAGAAAGCTAATACTACCTCAAGTCCAAAACTAGATAAACATACAAGAAGAACAAAAAAGGTACTGGCTAATAATCTCAAAGAACAAGATGAAAACATCTTAGACAAAATACTGAATCCAATGGCACATTAAAAAGACACTCATTCACCATAACCAAGTGATATGTCTGAAATACTAGAATGGTTCAAAGTATACAAATCAATAAACATGACACAAATAGAATTGAAAAAATGATCACCTCAAGAGATGAAAAGAAACACTTGATAGAAAAAAATAGCCCTCATGACAGAAAACTCTGAGCAAATTATGTACAGAAGCAATGTACCTCAAAATAATAAATGTCATATACATTAAGAATATACCGAGTGGGAAATGGCTGAAAGATTCCTTCTAATGTCTGGCATAAGACAAGGAGGCCCACTTTTACTACTTTTATTCAACATAGTCCTGAAGTCCAAACCAGAGCAATTATACAAGAGAGCAAAATGAAGGTTACTCAATTTGAAAGAAGTAAATCAAATTGCAATCATTTGCAAATAATATAATTTTATTTGTAGAAAATTTCAAAGACTCTACCAAAGATTATTAATTATCAAATTAATAAACAAATGCTGCAAATTTTCAATATATGAAAATCAACATACATAAGTTAGTAGGACTACTATATACCACAGTGAGTTATATAAAACAGAAATCAATAAATGAATCCTAGTCACAGTAGGATTCTGGAATTTCATGGAACACTGTCAGTAATTTTTAAGAAGCATACCTAGGAGTGCAGTGAGTTTTGGAAGAAGTCCAACTTGTACCATCTTATTCCTTAGTCCTGTGTCAAATGACAGGTTTAATAAAAGCCTGAGAGTTATATTCAGCAAATCTTCATGCTCACAAGGTATCATTTTGACCAGTTTTTCAACAATATCCATTTCTACCTGTATGTAATAATGAAACACAATTACATTAGATCAAAAAATAAGATATAAAATATTACAGTTAATTAGTTGGCTTTTACTTGAACATATGACTATTTTACAAGTAATTATATATTAAACTTATACCCTCATTTCAACCTATAAACTTCTGAAATTGAATTTCTGAGAAAACACACACTCCTACATCAACCGTTCCTTCCCTCATTTGTCTGCACCAACAGGATGACAAATTGCATTTGATTTTGAAAACACTCTGCATAACTGAATACTACCCACAATATACTAGGCTTTATACAAGTAAGGTTTCAACTGGCCTTCAGGATTTCCTCTGTCTGAAAAGAGAACAAGCAACAGGAATACAATGTGATAAAAACTGAATGCACAAAAATGCTCTGGAAGCAACATGGAAGAAGTTATTAACACACCTAAAAGAAGACTTAAAATTATGAACAAAGTCGTTATAAAGAATCTGTTCTCTGGTTAAGAAAGGTGAGCTCCCTGATAGGTTATCCAATACCAAGTAGCCAGCCCTAAATACACGCACATACAAGTACCACTAAATGGACTAATGTGTGTGTGTGTGTGTGTGTGTGTGTGTGTGTGTGTGTGTAATAATAATCAAAGACAAGGTCATGAAAAGGCATGAGGGAGATGTGGGGAGTGTTGGAGGGGTTGAAATGATATAAAAGCATTATTCATGTATGAAATTCTAAAAATAAATTACAAAAAAGAAAGGCAATGACAATACAGACTGAAATGAGCCAGTGAACAGTCATTGTTTAGGGAATCACAAATGCTTTGGTATTCTCCCAGAATAAAATATACAGAGATTGTCAGAAGCTTAGACAGTCCTTAGACAGAATATGGAGGCTTTTAATGGTTTTTTTGCAAAGGAGTTCAACCTTATTTTGTAGGTAGCAGAGTGTTCTTACCAATTTTTAAGTTGAGGAGAGGACAGATAGGTGAGAGTAATTTCTTGAAATCCAAGATTTCAGATAATAGCCAGGGGCCACAATTGTAAAAAGGTCCATTTAAGAATAGAAGCCCCATGGAGAGATGGCTCAGCAGTACTGACTGCTTTTATAGAGGACCCAGGTTTGATTCCCAGCACCCACAAAGTTGCTAACAACTGTCTGTAACTCCAGTTCCATGGGATCCGACATCCTCTTTGACTCTGAGGGTACTACATGAAGTGAGTGCACTTATACATATGCAGGCAATTCATTCATAAAGATTGAAAAAAAAAAAAAAGAATAGGAGTCCCATGGAGAGATGGCTCAGCAGTTAAGAGCACTGGCTGCTCATGCAGAGGATCCGGGTTTGATTTCCAGCATCCACATGGCAGTGAACAGCCACCATAATTCCAAGGGGAATCCAAAGCCCTCTTCTGACCTCTGTGGGCATTGCATGACCATGGGCACACTTACATACATTGAGGCAATACGCTCATACACATAAAACAAAAATAATAAATAAAATACTTTTTAAAAGAACAGAAGCCCTAGGCCTTTTTACTACATAGCTAATAAAGTAGCTCTGCTGTCATTAACCAAAACTGGCAAACACAAAAACAAACAAGCAAAAACCCTAGGACAATGAGGGAAAAAATTCAAACTTTTGCCATGCTTAAATTGAAGAGGTATTTGGAAATCTTATGAAAATCAAAAAAGAATCTGGGCTGCAAGTAATGACTAAAACTTTAGAACAGGGATCAGCATATTGTGTCTAGTAATAGTAATCCGGCCCATCATCTGTTTTAACAGAACCCATGTAAGACTTTTTCTTTGTTTTTACTTTTTTTCATTTTTGCAGCCTTGGGGGTCAAACCCAAGCACTCTGTCACTAAGCTATACCCTTAACCAGTTACATTTTTAAACAGCTGAAAAATAAAAGCAAATTAAAATTTCATGATACATGCATTTATATGGAATTTAAATTCTGTTTCGCTAAGCTTTTATTGGAATAGAGACATGCTCATTAGTTTACAGACTGTCCATGGCTCTTATAATGCTAGTTGCAACAGAGACCATATAACCTGCAAAACCATCTAAAGAAAAGGTTTGCTGATTTCTGCTGTAGAAGATTCTAAAATTGCATCAAGAGAATGTGTGTCAGAGTAAGAAATTAAAGAGAGTATCACCAATTATTTACTTGCTGAGTGAAGCTCTATGTTAGGTTTTTAAAGATAGCAATCAGAAAAATGTGGCTGTAAAAACACTCCATGCTTTCAGTTACACAAAAATGGCTAAAGGACAGAAACTCTACAAAGTTCATAGTTTTGGGAATAAAACATGAAGATTTATCAAAATCAGGCTTTTTACTTTATTAGAGATCTAAAACATTTACTTACACTGTTATTTTCATATCTTTTTTTTTCTCCCGGAGCTGAGGACTGAACCCAGGGCCTTGTGCTTGCTAGGCAAGTGCTCTACCACTGAGCTAAATCCCCAACCCCTACTTTCATATCTTTATTACAAGTTTTCAGTAAACTCATAAAAATTCTATTAACAACTGATTCCTTGCTATATATTTTTTCCCTTTCACTTTATGGCAAGGAGTAACAAATTTTTAAAAAGGTAAACTGACAAATCAGGCCCTGATTTTCCTTTAGAATTCTATGCACACTGCAGAACTGTGACTCAGGCCATAGTAAAGCAGCTCCTTGCCAGAGTACAAGCCAATCTCCAAAGACTCCCCAAGTCATATGTTAAGCTAAAAGCAGATTCTAAAATGCACATGAAGGTATAAATAATACAGAAAGCCAGAATGATTTGAAAAAATAACAAGAGGCTTTACACTGTTTGACTTCAAGACTTATAAAGTGCCAGCAATCAAGAAAAGGGAGCTATCAAGTGAAAGAACAAAAGGCGGCATCTAGGGACAGAGCTACAATTACAGGGACAACTGCCTTTTGACTGAAGTACCATTTCAATTACACTGAAAGGGATCTGATGAAAAACATTTTTTAACAGATGGTACTGGAACAAGATTGAACTGGATGTCCATATTCAAAAGCAACTCTTGATCTGTATTTCGTTCTATATGCTAACTTAACTCAGAATGAAAGGGGCAAATGAAAACAACAACAAAAACCCTACACAATTTCTTGAAGAACACACAGGTAGAAAGTTTTGTGAACTTGAATGAAATGAAGATTTCTCTTCAGTACAATATCAAACTAAAATCCATTAAAAACATTTTTTTCATGCTGGACTTCATAAAAATTAAAATCTTTGTTCTTTATGTGAGAATGAAAAGATAAGTCACAGAAAAGAATAAAGTGCCTGAAAAACATAACTGATAGGAGATTTGTGTAAAATACAGAAAAAAATCAAAAGTCATTAGTAAAAAATAAGCAACCCATACAACACATTCTTCCTGTGGTTCCCCTCAAATCCATATTCTAATATGATTTATTCTGGTACATTGATGAGTTGCAGGTTAATTTATCACTATTCTTTAATAAATATTATTCAGTTTAAAGCACAAATTGAAAGGGTTTTTTTTTTAAGGTAAGCTCAGTCCTCAACAGAGAAGATTCTTTTTGCAGTAGCTGGCCATTAGTACAGAGACCCACAACCAAAATGCAGAGAACAAGAGACTGTGGAGTGCTCAATTCCAAATGGGCCATCTATACCACACCCTAACCCCAGGGCTCAGAGATCATCACAAAGAGCAGTACAGAAAGAAGGTAAGATACAGAATCCGCAGACATCTACAGTGCAACATTATTTGCTGGACATGACAGTACCACTGTACATGTGAACTGACAGCACCTGTGACTACATGCATGAGACCTGCACAAGAACAATCCAGTTAAAATCCCAGCAAAGATGAAGCATGAGTCTTTCCCCTGGCTAAGAAGCTATTGCAACTGAGGTGAAGAGAAAGTGAGTTTTGTTCAGGTGTGTGGCCCTTAAAGGCTACTCATGCTCAGTGATGGTCCTATCCCCATGCACATATATGTAGCACTCAGGGAACTCAATGGGTTTAAAACAGAGAGAGCACATGCAGTTGGAAGGGCAAAGTGGTGGGGAGACAAGGGAGATACTGGATGGGTGGGAACGGGGAGTAGATTTGACCAAAATGCATTATATGCATATATGAAATCTGCAATAAAAACCTTATTTGAAAAATTGCTGAAAGTCTCGCCTAAAGTGTTTTAAAAAATAACATAAAGAAAACAATGGTCATGGGGTACACACCTGTAATACTAACACTTGGTGGTTGAATGTGGGGGTCAAAAGCTCAAGGTAAGCCTTGCTACATGAGTTTAGGGCCAGTCTAGCCTATGAGATACCTCTCAAAAGACAAAAAATAAACAAGCAATCAAACACTCAAATAACCAAACAACAAGAAAAATCCATCCCTGAGTTTGATTTTTCCCCTCAAGAGACAGAGCATGAAGCTGAGCATCTACAGACTTGCTCCTTGAAGTCCATCACTTAGTGTCTATCGTCCTGACACTTCATCTGAAAACTAGGATGTTGGTGCCACTAAATGATGTCATGCATACATGAATGAGTTAAATTATAGAAGTTCTGATTCCATTAGATGCTTTCACATAAAAGGTCATTTTTACATATAAAAATGAAATGCATACCATCTACAATAAAAATCTTGCTAATCAAACTCGTAAATTTCTCATAACTTGTCTGAAGCTCTGGGTTTTTCTTCCCGAGTAAAAATGAGGCTTGATGACATGATTTATTTTTTAATATTTTATTTATTATTTTTATTTTAAGTGTATGAGTGTATTGCCTGCATGTATGTAAATACCTGGGACATGCCATGCTCACATAGGTCAGAAGAGGGTGTCAGATCCCCTGGAACTGGAGCTACAGATGATTGTTAGTCACCATGTGGGTGCTGGGAATTGAACCCAGGTCCTCTGCAAGAATGCCAGTGCTCTTGACCTCTAAGCCATCTCTCCAGCCCCAATGATGACGTGATTTATATTATATCTTCTGATTTTATCATCCTACTGGATATTAACTGTAATAATAATGTTGAGTTTTTTTTGATAGATTGACCACTTAATAAGTGCATTACTTAGAAGACTTTCAGCTAAACTAAATACACTAAAATCAGAAATGACAGAGGTAAAATACTTCAAAGACAAACAATTCCAGATGAAGCTAAAAGTTTAAACTACTTTCTACATATTACATATATCTATTCTAGGACAGTATCAGGAAATATTTTTATCTAGAAAGCTTCAATTATCTGAAATAGTAGAATACTGAATACAGTTCTAAATGAAATTGTTTCAGTGAGTTATGGTTATTATAAAACATTTAGAATTACCTTAGCAGGGGTATAAAATGATTTACTTTTTATCAAAATAATTTAAAAATAGCTAAAGTGTATTATTTAAGGAGCTTTGAAAGTTACCATATCATTTTTATTCTCCATAAAAATACTGAGTTTCTTTAAGAAAGACACCACTAGAATAAGAAGTTCAAAGTTGTCCCGATCCAGAGCCTTCACCAGCATGTGCACAATATTCTTGTTCCTCATCTTCAGCTCTGTCCGTGTGTCCTCGGCAAGATTCAGGAGCAAATAAAGAGCAACTAGGGAAGAAAAATATATGAAAGTTAAATGACTGGCATATTGAACACAAAACTTTAAAAGCACTTCTATTTACCAAGATAACAGACACAGTTCTAAAAAGGTTTTAAATTATTTAGAAAATTTTAACTGGTATTCAAAAAAAATGATAATTTTTTAATTTGGAAAAAAAGAATCTATTTCTCACATGTAAACTGATTTTCTGTTAGTCACTATAAGAAAAGACCATATGGAATTCAGTAATACAATCATTACGCCAGACAGAGTTAAGATCAAACTCTACTAGTTCTAAGTAAAATTTCTTTTAGATCCGTGCAATAAAGATGATCAGTTTCTCCAAAGAAACCCACAACATTTCACTTCTGAAAGTGAAAACTGTATCAGATAATGGTTCCCATTTTGTCTTGACATAGGAAGATTTAAAAGGTCTCTTTCTGTCAAAATTATGTAGGCTATTGATGAACATAATACTTTTGCCCTTGTATGGCCTTGATGTTATTCATTATTTTAGCATTTCATTTAATTGTCTGTTGAGATAGAACAGACAGACTAGCCTATGCTGACTCTGAATTTGTGATATTCCTATCTCAGCTTCCTCAGTACTAGAATTATTGGCATGGACCACTTTCCCTAGCCCTCATTTAATATATTCTTATAATATACTCTGAATCCTTAATAAAAAGTATTAATATACTCACATATTAATATAGGTTGATAAACATCTGTTTAGTTAATATTAGAGGCAAATCACACCTAATAAGTACTTACCAAATGTCAGGTACTATGTTAACTGATAAAAATAAGTAATTTTAACTCTAAAATAATTTTATGAGCAAAGAGATATAAAAATTTTACAGATGGGAATACTGAATGTATATAATTTAAATAACTTGACCAATTTATACAGTTCCTGGACTAGGAGAACTAAATTAAAATTCAAGCCCATCAGAATCTAAAGCTCATACATTTATGCTACTACATCGTGCTGATTTTCTAGTTAAGGTAATATGAAAAGTTTTTAAAATTGTGCTGGAAAGCAAACAGGCCTTCTGCACGGAAGCAAGGCAGAGGTACAGAGTTGAACAGTGCCCACCTAAAATGTAAAAAGACCTTAGACTTGAAGTTTATTTGAAAATATATTCTTTGCAGATGTAATAGCTAAGATGAGCTAATAGTAAATAGGGTAAACTCTTAATCAGGTAACTTAAGTCCTAATAAAAGAAAGAGGACGTGAAAGGCAGGTTTAGTGGGAAGACCATGGGAAGATGGAGGCAGACTTTACTGATGTGCAAGAAGCCAGGAAGTCTTGAGGTGGTAGAGATGCACCAAAATGACCAAGAGAGAACAAAGAATTCTTCTCTAAAACCGAGGGAATATGGTTCTGATGTCTCCTTGATTTTGGCTGTCTAATCTTATTGAAAAGGTCCCACTGGATTACAATAATTTCAGGGGCTGTATCAGCAAAACAGGCTGAAATTTAAAATATTATTCATGGTAAAGATAAAAAAGCTTAAGGCATATTAAAATTTATAAAATTTTCCATGATTTTGGTATTAGTAAATAACACAAAAATGGAACAAAATAAATGTGACTGTTTTTAATCACTGTTTGAGAATTCATACCTCTCAATAGTTGCTCCTGTTTTATTACAAGCCCCTGGTACTTTTTAAAGGTTTTGTCATAATCCTTCCTTAGGGCTTGGTTTTCAAGGTCTTCATCAAGTAAAACTCAAGTTAAGGATCACATGCATAAACTTAGGCAAAGATAATTTACTGAAAACTACTCTCACAAACAGCACTGTTACATTTTATATTTATTATTATTATTACTATTATTATTGTTGAGACAGGGTCTATGTATTTCTGACTTCTCTGGAACTCACTATGTTTACCAGTCTGACTTTGAACTTATAGAGATCCACCTGCCTCTGCCATCTGAGTACTGGGATGAAAGGCATGCTGTGCCACCAAGCCTGGATGCAACTTTGATTATACTGTCTATTCAATAATCCAACTAAAATCTTAGCTTCACAATTTTATATAACATGATACCTTAGCAAAAGGGTTCAAGAATTTCTTTGGAGTCCTTAGGTGAGAAACTGCCTGAACTTCACCAAATACTTGCATTCTCAGAAATTACCTGCAAATACTTTATGTGGATTGCCAACTCTGTGGCTTTCAACAGGCAACAAGTAGGGCTAAGCAAAAAGATCACTGCCTTACTGAAAAATGACATAGTTATTAGGAACAGTAGATTCTACTTCAGATAGCCATCCAACATATTCAGACATGCAGATTAAATCTAAAGCTTTTAAGTACCCTCTTCAGGTCAGAGACACCAATAGAAAGATATTCCGAAAAATAAAGTCCTTGTGTTTCACAAAGGAGATAAGAAATATACCATATTTTTTAGAGAGGAATAATATTTTAATTTCCAACAGGTATCAATAAATGTTGTATTCAAAGAATATTATTACCAACAATTACTTGTTGATTCTATAAAACATATCACATAAGACAGATATGAACAGTCAAGGTCCTTTGAGCTACAATTAAATTGCAAAGACAGTATGATACCTTCACATAAGATAACTGTTAAAGAGATACTGTTGAAGAGAATACCCTTACTCTATATTCAGTAGAAAAGACTAAGATCAAAGTGCAGAACTTATCTGAAAGTAGACTATGGTTCACTAAGCAAAGGAACACTAAAATAAATAGAATTCCAATCCAAAAATGGCTTAAAAATATTGTCTTAAGGCATAAGACAATAACATTGTTAAAGATAGAGTTTATAAGTATGTGCCAAGAACACTGCAGAAAGATTTAATATTATAAGATAGGTTAAAGCCAATCATTCCTATCGTTCCTTTAATGTATCCTATCATTCTACGAAACTTCCATGTTTGTGTTAAAACAGTATTTTTTTCACTTAACTAGAAAAATTGAAAATCATAGAAAAGAAGAACTGTAAGGTAGGTTCACTGAAAAATTTAATCCATTCCCATCAAAATTACTTAGAAGTATGTACACAGAAGTGGTGGGTCATATTTCATGATATCCTTAGTGTGGGTCTTAGTGGACACCACAGTGCAGCTGCTTAGACTCTTTTATTCACCCATCCAGTACCACTAATGGATTCTTCCTTCCGTCTCATTAACTAATCAAAGTGTGAAGAGACCAAGAGTGTATGTCAAACTGTTTTTATTCTGATAGTTTCAATCTTTATATTTATATCCAACACATTCTTTCATGGTTTCTAAATAATGTGACTGATTAATAAAAAAAGAAAAGAACAAAACCAACCCATCCATCCAAAGCTCATAACTACAGAAAATATAATGGTTCTCTAAAAGGATATCAGCTTTCTTCTTCTTCGAAAGTTCTTCTTGCCAGAGCTCGTGTCTTTTTAACTCATGATCAATGATATTCATACACAGTGCTCCAATTTTATAATGAGTGATGAGTCCATGGAAATGAGAAAAGCTTTAAAGAAGAGATTTCAGTATATTTTAAAGAGTATGTTTTGTCAGTATAGGAGATTTGGAATTGGCCTAAACCATGCAGAGAATAAATGACAGACATTTCAATAAATGAAGATATCCAAAACATTTAAAGAAAATTAGAGGCTATAAGATTATTTTAAATATATTTTAACATACTACCCTTAATTCAAATGTAATTATTAGGCAGGATTTTATGTTTACTTACTCAAATATTTTCAGAATACATTTTGGAATATTGTTTACCAAACTAATGATATAACAGTAGGCATATATTTTATTTGTTGTATAAAACTGACAATAGAATAGACTAGTGAAGTATTAAGAATCAAGTTTATGTATGTTTGCCAGACAATTCATTTAAGTATTTATTCAATAAATATTTCTTTGCTAATGCTGGCACATTTTAAAAACAGAACTGACTGGAATACTTTCACAATATCTCAATAAATATATTTCTTAAGAATATATGCATATAAACAGAATGTTATTTAACCATTAAATGAAAGAAATGTCATTACTTGTTGGGAACATGAATGTAATTGCATAATGGGTACCAAAATACAAAATATAATTATATAGGAGTAAGTTCTAATGTTATACAGCAAGTAATGAGTTCACAACAATTTACAGCATATTTAGGAGTAAATATTCATAACATAAAAATAATAAATCTTTAATGACATGGAAATTCTAATCACCATGATCTAATCATTTACATATTGTATACTTGAATCAAGCTATCACCTTATGTCCCACAAGTATGGAATACATTAATAAAACTGACATACAAAAGCATCTATACAATATTTACTGAGTACTTACTCTGGATCAGGCTTTTATCCTATGTATTTTAATTCTTAATCATTTAATCCTACCCACTATCCAAAGAGAGTGCTATTATTTCTATGAAAATTTTATACATAAGGAAACTGAGGCACCGAGAATTGAAGTAAAGTAAGCAAGAGCACACAGTCAGCAAGTAGGTGGCATTGCATTCAAACTGAGACAGTCTTTTTCCAGAGTCTGTGCTCAGACTCTAATCATTATGGCAATTGATTGTGTGTTTGTGTATGTGTGTGCATATAAGTGCAGACTGAATGAAAGAATTCCAGAGAAAGGCAGAAAATAAAAAAATAGACAGAAAAAACGGTTTGGAGGCAGAGCACAGGCAAACACACAGGAAAACTGGAAGAAATTACGGTCTATAATCTGACACAGGCAGACAGCAATATAGATAAGTCCTTTTATAATCTTTGTACTTACCTAGAAAAGCAAAAGAAGATATAAATGATGTTTGTGGCTAACTCAACGCTTTGTTTCCAGTCTTCTCTCAGAACTCTGGCTAGAGCACCCAGGGCAGTTTCTAAAGAAAAAGGAGACATACAAATATGATCATTTACCTTTCCTTTGATATAAAGGGTGGTTGGTTTTAAATGTCCACTTATGAATAAATAACAAAGCTAAGACAGAACTGGGACAAAAAAAGTAGGATGCTTCTTTCCAATACAGAAAGATAGCTTTAAAACTAACTTTTACTTAAAACACCTAACAGACAACTTCAAGTGTACATAGTAAACAAAATATAATTTAGATAAACATAAAACTTACATTGTGAGTCACACTAAGATACTAAAAGGCCATTAACTTCCTGGCTTGCACTTCTACTTGGCATCTTACTATTGCACAACCTTTTACTTTCTTTTTGTAACATCTGATTTAATATATAAGAAAACAACTAAAACAAATTTAGAATATATAAGCAGCTTAGCAAACTAACATTAGTACCATTAAAGTAAATTTACTAAATAAAAATTTATACATAGAAAAGAAAGTCTGTATTTCAATATCACATGCCAACAGACATAAAAGTTTCAGAAAATAACTTCTTGGAAGTACATAAGCATCTCTGTTAGAGGAGGGAAACTTAATATATTAACATATACTAAGTAAATATAATGAAGTCAGTTTGAAATGAGTTACATGGCTTTCCAATTTTTGGAGGCCTATGTACATATGGGTGGTGCATGAATGTGTGTTGCAACATGTGTGTGTGCATATTGTGTGTGCCTGTGTAGAGGCCCGAGGCTGACATTGGGAATCTTCCATAATTGCTTGCCTCCTTAGTCTCTGAGGCAGAATCCAGAGTTCTCTCACTTGAACCCAGAGTTCCAGGATACTAGCTTGCTCTGGGAAATCCCTGTCTCTGCCTTCTGACTACTGGAATTACAGGTGAGCTGCCAAACCATCCAGGATTTACAAGGGTACTGGCAGTCTGAACTCAGGTCTTCACCATTTCATCTACTGAGCTATCTCCCAGCACCCTGTCCAGTTTTATTTTTAATTACTAAAATATCTATTTTAACATACAGAAGTCATAATTCCATCATCATTAATGAATACTCAGGATCTATTGTACTTCATGGATAGTATTATCATTATTATAGACATAAAATGCTCAGCATATTTCAGCTTTCAGATTGTTGAGATTATGAAATAAGAATTAACTGTATTAAATACTAACCCACTTCAGTGATTATTATTATTATTATTATTATTATTAGTTGATTTTCTGAAACAGGGTCTCCCTGTATCCCAAACTGGCCTGGAACTTAATAGGCAGGGCAGGCTGGCCTTGACCTCACAGAGATCCACCTGTCTCTGCCTCCAGAGCGCTGGGATTAAAGGTGTGTGCCCCATGCCCAACCCTAGTGATTTTTTTTTTTTTTTAGCAAATTAAAAAATATTTGACTATAGCAATTCACAATCACAGTATGATTATTGGACTAATGCAAGCTTTGATCAAAGTTATTTTGAAATGAAATGAAGAAATAGACAGTATACATTAACATGAAGGTGTCCAAAAAGTCCTACTTAACAGAGTACAGCATTTTCTATTTATTAAGACCCAAATACTTTTGATGATTATAATTTGGAGGAAATGGTATTTCTTAGTACAGCAAAGCAATGCTATTCTATAATATATGAGTAAAGGTATGGTTTTAGTGATGTATTTATCAAATTTTGTTTGGTACAAGATCAGCGAATTGTATTTTCAAGAGAAAAGAAAGGCAAATTGGAGCATTTCTCTTACATATTCTAAAACTCCAGTCAAAATGCACAACAGTAGGGGGTAGAGGAGGAATATCTGGAGTTAAAGGACAGCCTCAGCTAAGGAGTGAGTTCAAGATCAGCCTGGATTACATGAGAGATATCTCAACACACACACATACCTCCACCACCACCACCACCACCACCATCACCACCATTAAAAACAACAGTAGAGAGAAAGAGAGAGAGAATACCAAACCAAAGAGACAATAATAAATAGACAATAAGTGAACCCAGTCTTAATTGCTGAGCAACTACTTAATATGTGCAAAGATTTGGGTTCAGTTTCTTGTACCACAAACAAAAAAAATAAAGAACCATAATAGTATTATATTGGTATGGTACTCACCAAAAAGACCAATGGAACCGAAAGAGAACATAAAATATGTTCATGAATCTATGGGAATTTTACTTGTCAAAGATTAAGTTCTGGAAGAAACAGAAGCATCTGTTCCATAAAAGCATAGCTGGGCATGGTAGTCCACTTCACTAGTCCCAGCACTTGGGAGGCAGAGTATGTTCCGAGGAGCACTTATTCCTCTGAGGGGCAGAGCCTGCTGTGGAGAATTGGCTGCAGAGAGTTAGCTACAGAGAGGGAGCTGCAGAGAGTTAGCCACAGAAGGCACCGGGTGTGGGGTGCTGGGTGTTCGCCTTTGTAAGTTACTCTACTTCCCCTACCTTGGATATAAACTATAGAAAATTCAGATAAAGATATGTTATGTGGTTTGTCTAATAGTGCCATGAGTAAGGGGCCCTCAGAGAACTCAGGCGACAAATTGGCACAGTTGACAGGATGATGGCACTGGAAACGATAAACCATGGGAGTTTGGGAAAAGCAAGGGAGCTAATGGTGGCACTGATGTGGATCTTACAATGGATTATAAAATATGTAACTAAAAAGGAGCCAGCCACGGAGAAATGTGGGCCACATCTGTGCTGTAAATGTGGGGAAACAGCCCAATTGCAGGTATATGAAGATTTGTTAAAGGTTATAGAAAAGCTAGAAAAACTTTTACAAACCTGGGACACAAGCAGAGAACCTAGAGAGGGGGGCATGGCCACTTTGAATAATAAAAGATTTGCCCAAGGCAGGGGAAGTGGAAAAGGCTAGGGAAGTACAGGCAGATTCAATTGAAGAACTTGAGAGAGAAAAAAAATTGGACATTTTAACTTGTGTAAGGTCCCAGGACTCTGGAAAAAAGACAGATAATAATAATGAAAAAGGAAACAACCTAAAAACTAAAGTGATTAAGGCTACCCATCAGATTCAACCTTTGATACAGAAAGGAAAGGAAGCTAGCAATACTGTATCTAGGAAATACTCCACACTGGAACTGTTAAAACTAGGAAAAACTTACAAGCAAGCAATCAAAGAGCCCCTCACCAAATGGCTAGTGAGGATATGGGACATGCGAGCAAATAACGTCAGTCTAAGTCCTTTAGAAGCTTCAGAGCTGAGTTATATAACCACCAATATGTCCTTGCAATACAGGCTGTTCAACCTAGGCCAATGCAGGGGAAGCAGTCCTTAATGGGGTGGCTGGTTGAAGGCATTAAAGATACATGGTCATCACTAAAGGAAACTTCCATAAATAAGAGGCTGGAGGACTATAAAAGAGGGACAAGCATTACTGAGAGAACTAGGTATGAGAAAAGCAATATATGATACCCAGTTCACTGGGCCACATAAGACTGTTCACCAGAGATATAAAGGAAAGCTTAATTCAACTGGGACCTCAAGAATGGTATGGAGCTTTAATGGTTTTGCTAAGCCCTTTAAGAATACAGGATCTTTGTAAAGTGAGAGAGCCTTTAGCAGATGTAAGTGACTCTGACCAACATGTAAAATGTGTCTTTAGAATAACTGAACACCCTACAAGAGATATAAAAAAGACCAGACAGAAGAAATGGTCCGTTTGGGTTACTTGAAGACAAATGTGCCAAGAGTTATATCGAGCCCAAATTCCCAAAGAAAAAATTGATAGAAAACCAAATTTGGTGCTAAGGAGTTTCTGGAAGGCTTCAAAACCAGAGTAACAGTTTATAAAAGGCATTCAAAGGATAAAAACTGTCCCAGGGTGGTTAAGAAACCCCAAAGATTGCCACTGGATGGATGACGTTCATAGTACCAGAAGGTGCTACAGATGGTTGGGGAAGAAAGGAACCCCTATGATTTTACTCAACAATGGACCCCACATGCTACATACTATGGACATGCCAAGCAATGCCTGCAAGTGCTATACTGGTTTGACTAACATATGTACAACTGACAAATTTTTAATTGGATAAGGCTCGCTCTTAGGGGTGGAACACACATCTGGGGCTGTAGACCAGGCCAACCCCCTGTGTCAAGAAAGGCTACATGCCCTAGTGGGGAAACCATTACAAGTATACTGTTTAATGAATATAGTACACCCCCTGGAATATTTTCTAGGCATTTGTATTTACATTCATGTTTGTTTAGATGTGTTTACTTCCTTCCATTTGTCTTTATAGTAGAAGAAACACCACTGAGATAGATCAATGGCCATGGCTTGAAGATGAATAACGGGGAGGCCCAAGAAGTCACTATCTCACCATGATACGAGAGAGCTCCCTACATCTGTCACCCCCTCCAAGGCTCAGGGACCTTAGCGAAAGATTGGCAGAAAGATTGCAAGAGCCAGAGGATGCTGGCTCCAAGAGTTCTGTGATTCTTGGCAAGAGTGCTGTTTGACAAAGTTCCAGCCAAAAGCCGATGACCGCTGCTCTTTTGGTGGATATCCCTTCCCCAGTTACTCCTGGTTTTTGTAATTTGTATAACCTTCTCTTCTTTAAGTATTCCGATAACCAACTCTGATGATGGAATGGGAAACTAAACCAGGAAAATCTCTTCCTGTAGCAGAATTATTATGTTACTGAAACAAAATGAAAGTAATGATAGACGACTTCCTCCTATGACTATGATCTCGTTTGGACCTGCATTTGTGATTAATAATGAGGCTTGGTTTCCCCCAAAAGGAAAAGATAGCATGCAATAGATGCCCTGCTGCCTTTTACAGGAGTTTATGGCTTTAACCCTAAATGAGGAACTACTGAGACTAAAGTTTGGTATAAGGAAAAACTATTTGGCTTAGGGAAACTCCTTCTTAGATAGAAAGATTAGCTAAGTCAGTAAAAAGCTGGTGGTGCATGATCTCTGAAGAAAAATTGCCTATTCTTTTACAAAGACTAAAAGCAATTCAGAAAGCCTTTAAAGATAAATGGCAACAAAATAATAAACGATATTGAAATAGAGCATGAGTACAAAATATTCAGGAAGAAATAGCAAAAGGGAGAGGAAAAAGATAAATTGGAATATTGGTTAGACAATAAATAAAGAGTTGGTTATTCCCATTCCCATGAGAAAAATAATTCTCTCAAATATACACGCCTACCTGTAAATACTAAATTCAAAGAATTAAAGGGCATACGGGGACAGGCCGTCTTACACTTCTATGGTAAAATAGAAACCCCAAGGCTATAAAGAAAACAATGAAGACATTGCTTGGCTATGTTAAGAAAAGGTTAATCATTGAACTTTGTCATAATTCTATTCTGTAACAGAAGAGTAGCCTGGAAAGAGCTGGGGAGGGAAGAGGAGTTCAAGGCTCCTCCAAACCTCATCCCAGAAGACATTTGCTAAAACATCCAGTTCTCAGGGAGCAGAGAATATTGTCTATTTTCTTGGCCTGGAGCTTGCTCTGTACAAACAGCCTTATCCTAGGGTATTTGTCCTCAGGCTACTTGGTGAAAGCCACTGAAGGCAGCATCAGAACAGCTGGAGGCAGTCTTATTAGTTTGTTACAGGATTAACAAAAAGGCTATTAAATGGAAAAACTAAATATCAGGGATTTTAAGGGGCTCTAAAAAACTCAAAACTATTCTTCTAAGTCTAGAAGGTCACACCCAGCCTACATGCCTACCACAGAAAGCCCCAGAAAGCCCCTAATATGTCAATCTGGCTGAATTTGAGGCATTAATATCCAAGCAGGAAGTAAAGGCAGTTTTATAAGATATCTGCTTGAGCACTAAGGACACACACACACACACACACACACACACACACACACACAGCCTTTCTGCAAGGGTGAGGAGACTTATTACCAGGCATTAAATGAAATCTCTGTCCAATCATAAGTGGCCAATACAGCTAGTTGATCAGAGACTTTAGTGGTTCGACAAAGGTAGTAACTTTGAAAAATTAACCCACAAAATTCACCAAACAGATGGCATCAATAAGAAGCCTTAAGGCAGCAGTAATCTGATTCTTAGAGTTGCCATATATTATTTCAACAAAAATAATAAACCATGGAAAAGAATCAGAACACTGTGACCCACACTCAAGGAAATAAAGTCACCAACTTAGACTGTATTACAAGACAAATATTTTAAGGCAGTTATAACATTTAAAAATTTAAAGGAGAGGCTGGAGAGACTGCTTGACAGCTAAGAGTACTTGCTGTGCAGCCATGAGGACCACAATTCAGATCTCAGCACCCACACAAGAAGTCAGGCATCCCTTACACCTTTAACTACAACTCTGAGCGGGTAAAGGCAGGAGGATCCCTGAGGCTTGCTGGAATCTAGCCCAATGGAGAAAACATGAACCCTAGATTCAGGGAGAGACCTTGCCTCAAAGGAAGAGGTAAGAGTGAGAGAAGACACCTGGCACCCTCTGAATGTGCACCTGTATACATTAGTCCATATATGCATGGACTAAAACACATAAATAAATCTAAAAATATTAAACTATATAAGAGTAAAGGAAAGCATGTGAAGACATACAAATGATGTTTCACCAAAGAGATACACCTTATAAAAAAGAACCAAAAGAAATTCTGTACAATATTGAAGAATATAGTAACTAAAATGAAATGGCTCAGTGGTCAAAAGCACTGGCTGCTCTTGCAGAGGACCTGGGTTTGGTTCCCAGAACCCACATCATGGCTAACAACCATTAGTAACTCCAGTTCCAGCTGGGTCTGACACTTTCTTCTGGCCTCCTGGGCACTGCATGCACATGGTGCACATACATACATGCACTTGTACATATAAATAAAAATAAATCTTAAAAAAATTCACTAGGGGATCTTAGCAACAGAAATGAATTTTAAAAGAATCCATTAATGTGCTGGAGCGATGGCTCAGTGGTTAAGAACACATGCTGTTCTTGCAGAAGACCTGGGTTTGAATGCCAGCACCCACATGGCAGCTAACAACTGTCTCTAACTCCAGTTCCAGGGGATCTGACAGCCTCTTCTGTCCACTGGAGGCATTGCACGACACGGGTGTGCATACCTACATTCAGGCAATACACACACATAAAAATAATAAATAAAATATTAAAAAAAGAATCCATTGACATAAGCATAGTCAGTTTACATAACTGTGTCTCAAGAAAAAAGTATGAAGACAAAATGAATACAGCCTCAATGATCTACAGAAGGGCACAAAGCATAGCAACGCACTCATAATGGAAGTCCCAGAAACAAAGGAAAAGGCAGAATGAACAGCTTATGAAATAATGGCTCAAAACTTCGTGTTTGTTGAAGAATATTAATCTGCACAAACAAGAAAGTCTGAAAACTTCAAGTATGACAAGCTGAATGATATAAACACTTAAACACATTAAGGGTCACATTTGTAAACACAAAGGTCAACAGAATGGGGAAAGTATGAAGAGAAAAGTAACTGTGCATGTACATAAGATCGTCAATGCAATGATTAGCAGATATTTACCCAAGAAACCATGGAGGAATGAAGATGGAGGGCTGACATATTGAAAGTGAAAAGAATTCCTGTCACCTTGCCTGTAATTCCAGAGACTGGAAGGTGGAGACATGGGATCCCTGGGGCAAGCTGACTAGCCAGACTAGTTGTATCTATGAGCTCTGGGTTCAACTGAGAGACACTGCCTCAAAGAATACAATGGGCAGAGATTGAGGAAGACTCTGATGCCAACTTTGGGTTTCTATGTGCACACATGTGCACACGTACCTGTACACACATGTGCTCTAACACACATGAGCATGCGTGCATATATTAAATATATGCAAACACCACATTCATACACATGTAAAAATATGTACTTTGTTATAATGGTACAAAGCAGTGAGAAGGAAAGTGGGTAATTGGAACAAATTTTTGTATAATTTTTAAGTTAAGTTGGTAGTAATCTGAAGAACACTGTTTGAAGTTGTCAATTATAGTATAAGAGTATCACTAAGATTATAACTCAGGGAGACAGTTACAGAAGATTACATTAAATTGATAAACTAGAAAACACCTAAGACAGAAGAAAACAATTATGGAAGAAAATTGAGGAATAGAAGAATAAAGGAGGTTAGGAATCATGATTAAAATGTTCACATTATTACAAATATAAAAATATTAAAGTTTTTGTCATTTATAACAAATAAAAATGATACAGAGCTTACCTCATAAGTATTTATATTAATGCTAAACTAAAAATGCCAATAAATAAAAATAGATTAAAAAACCCACCATGATCTGACCATATGTTCTATCAAACTCTTCAAACTTAAGGACACAAAAGAATGAAAATCAAAGAATGGATAAAGGACAGATGATGAAAAGAGAAGGAAAGGCAAACTAGTAGATTGAAGGTATCCCTAAATTCATGGAAGAAAAGGAATTAAAATTCAGTATCACTGCACAAGAGGGAGTGGGAAGACTATAAAAGTCAGGGGTAGTCTAGCTACCACAGCTTAGTTGCATATATGAATCCACTGCATTTATGACAGCAAGCTCAAGCCCTGTACAGATCCAAGACAGACAGGGCCCAGCATGGAAGAGGGAGATGGGCAGAAAGCCCTAGCTGTAGCTGAGAATTTACTGGCAATGGATAGATGCTGGGAGAGGGAAAGTCAGTTTACTTTACTAGTGTGATGCCTGGTAGGTTGATCAGACTCCAAGGGATAGACCTCCACACCCAAGAGCATTTATGAAACACAGATTAGAATGAATAGGCCATTTAAAAAAAAGTCAAGTAATAACAGAGGACATGAGGTTGGGGGGGTGGTAAGATGAGGGTAGAGAGAAATATGATCAAACTACAAATTCAGTGTATAAAATTCTCAAATAAAAAATATTTTTAAAAAGAATCAAAATTCAGAATATAAATTCATAATTTAAGACATGAAAACCATGTGTATGTGCATTTGTATATGCATTAAGATCTGAAAAGAGACATCACAGGGTAGGCGTGTTCTACAATAATTTTCCTACTTTGATTATTTAGAGAGATAAATCACCATTTAATAGTAGCTCTTCCAAGTTATCAGGATTTCGAGCAAGCTGTAGGATCAAGGCAGAACCCCGAACCTTGTCTGGAATATCTTCATATAGTAATTCAATGTATTCATCCATGTCATTGATGTTAGCAACTTCATCAATCTGAAATGGAGGTTGGAAATACAGAGTTGAACTGAACAGATTTGCCATCAGGTGAATGATATATTGTGATCAATATAATACCTTTCCTAAGAATGAACAAATTTCCAAAGAACTGATAGATGGAAATGGAACTTGTAGGTGGAAACTTTAGGCCTTCATGTTCCAGAATGCTAATATGAAAATATAAGCCAGAACACAGATAAACCCTACCATTTGTCTACCAATGTGAAGTATTTTAAATGTCATAGAAAGCAAATTGTCATCTTGTAAAAAAGATTAAATATTTTAAAGCATACTGTAAAATGTTCAAAATATTTTGTCACTTATTTTAATAAATTAAAAATGTTTTAAAAAATATGTGTCATTATCAATTAAACTCTGCTTTTCCTGCCTTTTTCAGGTATGTCTAACTCATTTTTAAAAATTCTACACCTGAATAATGTGGTTATATGCATCATTGAAGGTGAAAATCAGTACATTGTAGTCTGTGATATATTACATCTAAATTCACAGTCTTACCTCCATTCCTTCAAAGGGAGGTGGATCTTTAGGCTTGCTTGATTTTTCTTTTTTTTCTGTAAAAATATTTTTTTTTAAATGAGGATAATAAGGTTTTAAGAGTAATCCAGGAACATTAAAACTAAATGTTTGATGAAATGTTTTCTATTGCATAAGGAAACTTCTTTTATATATCAGCTATTTGCTCTAATGATGGTATCAAGGAGATTATTAACTAACAAAAATCTATAATAGAAATTATATAGGAAGCAACTTCAGTTTCCACAGAGATTAATTTCTGAGCGATATATATATATAT